CATTGCGTATGCTAGGTTGTATGTTAGTCACATTATGTATGCCATCTTATTTGCATTGTGTTTGGGATAGGAGTTAGCCCAAGCACGGGAAACGAGGGACGTTTCGTACTCCGAGTGACGGAACGTATCTCAATTCCCTGTCGCCAACACTCCGGATTACCCATGATGAAGTTTAGGTCTCGTTGTGCTTTTATGTGCATTCATTTCATATCGAGTCGTGCAATTCGACTCCTCGGCCATCATGCATCGATATGCGTGATTGGTGGCACGAGGATCGAGGACTACACTCCCTGAAGAGTAGTCATGCATACATATGTGAAATACTTTGCCATGCCCTTTTCTTGCTCTCTGTTGCAGCAAATCAGAAATCAGCAGCTTTCTAAAGCCTTGCACAGCATTCCGGCATTAATTGCAAACAGAGGCGAATCGGGGCATCGCAATGAATTTCTGCGACAGGCAACTCAAGCATGCATCTCCCATCATTCGGAACAGAGCTGAGGTAGTCCATAGGCTTGCATGCTAATTTACCTGCTTTCCTAGATTAATTTGTTAATTAATTAGGGTTTTCTATTTATTCGGACTGTATTATTCATTCAGACTGTATTATTCTTTCGGACCCTCCGAGTGAGGGCACAATTGTAATAAGTGTGCGTGAGTGTGATGTATGTCTTCCAACCCCACGTCTTTCTCCTTTTTATTTACCAGCTTATGATGGTTAGATTAGGGCATGTTTCAATTAGCATACAGTATGATAGCATGTCTGCATTCATTCATCTGTCTTGCATGCACCGGGCTCGGCGCATCATACTAACTGCATTTGTATTTCAAATTCCAAATTGAATATGTGCTAGCTGTAGCATCATCATATGCCATGTTTAGAATAGCCGAGCCTGCTATAGTTGTATTTTGCATATGTTGCATTAGGCATTTCTGTATAATTAGGATCATGCATGGATTTCTAATGAGCTTCTTTTTTGGCGTGGAGTATGTATAGTTAGGATCATGCATGAATTTCTAACATAGCTTTTGTTTTGGCTTGGAGTACTTGGTAAGTTTTACGCTTTAGCATCTTTGCATATGTGTGAGTGACTGCCATGATAGCATGCTTACCATGAGGTTATGTGCTTATATGATATACTTGCCTGAATGCCTGTGGGTGAAGGTTGGGTTATCCGAATTGGAACAATTCATCAAATGTGAGTTTTAAGCCCACTAGATAGTGGCAAATCATCTTGATTTCTAAACCCACCTGAGGGTGGCAAATCCACGTTTTAGCCTACTTACGAGTAGCAAACCGTTTTTTAAAACAAACATGAAATGTGTTGTTCCAATTCAGGCGACCCGGTCTATACTTGTATGCTGTGCGCATCACATAGTAAATCTAGGCTAATAACCGGAATAAGAACGCATAATATTTTCAAAACTAAATATCATGGTTAGTAGGTGCTCACGAAGTGACCTTCCCCAATCGTACCCAAGTTCCCGAGCCGAGACAACTTTGGTGATGACGGACACGTGGCCTTAGGCAACGAGTCAGGGTTTCCTAAATTTCCCAAAATAAAACATTTAGGTGACGACTCTGTATCTGGCAAAGCAGTCCATGTTTGGCACTTCTTTCAAAAAATCTGTTTTCAAAAACGATTTGCCGGATTTGGACTCTTTGATGATTTCATCGGTCTTGCATTGCACTCTGCGAGATTAGATACAGGACCGTGACATTGAGTCCTGAACTATAGTGAGCCCAATGAACAAAACGGGGAGAATTTCCCTCCCGGGACGTTCGGAGACGTCTACAGGCATAACAGTAACAATGGCGCTGTTTGGGAAGAAAGGGTTGAGGCTATTATAGCTTCAAATTACAAATAAGCCAAAAAGTCCCACTGTTCAAAGTTTTCAAAAAAAAAAAAAATAGGCTGCAGCTGCTGGCAGTGTAGGCACAGCCTACACTGTCCATTGACAAATTGTTACATCAACTGGTAAATTACGATTTTGCCCTTTTATATCAATTTAAAAAATTGTAATCTTAAGGACAAATTTGTCATTTTGATTTCAAACATCATTTCAACACATTTTTCAATACAACAACTCAAATAAAAATTTATCTCATCATCCCAAACACAAAAACTAAAATAGCCTACTAAAATAGCCAAAAAATCAAAAAATCTCTAAAATAGCCACTTCCCAAACGAGGCCAATATGTATATACCTATCAATCCTTAACATCATTCAATTACATCGCATATCAATTTTAAATCCAAAAGTACAAAGTGTTACATGAACAAATCATATTTTATTGTATAAAATGAATTATTTAAATTTAAAGTCGTAGTTATTGTCCACTTTAATTGTTTGCATCTTTTTCACTCTCCAAATTGTGATAATTTTTGGCTGTTTTATTCATGAAACCTTCCTGGTAATTGTTTGCACCTTTTTCACTTCCTTATACCTCTTAAACTGATACAAAACCTTCATGATTGGAGAATAATTTTGGGAAAAAAATTCAAAATCAAAAGGAAAATAATAATTAAGTGTAATAATATTGTATTATGGTAAATCGGAGAGTTTCTACTACAGAATACAGAAGAATGGTACTGGGCTTGTTTCTCAAACCAAATTTCAAAATAAGAGGAAATAAAGAGCGCTGCACCTACCAAAATTCTTTGGACCCCCTATTTTATAATTTTTTTTTATTACAATTATACCATAAAATAAAATTACATTAAAAGACATTATTAAATGAAACACCCATCTATCAATAAGAACTAATACTCTATAATATTGGACACCCACCCCCACCCCTACCTCCAACTCCAACTACAACTACAACTATACGTATTCCATGTTTGCAAATCTTAAACCTATTACTTTTCATAACCAACTAATATAAACCCTAAATCTATTATTTTTCATAATCATCTTAAATCCTGAATGTGTCATCTTCATCACCATCATCAACGCTATTGAATTTGAAAGTTTTGCTTCAAGTATAACGTATACTTCATCACTTATTTCACTGTGTAGAGCAATGGAGGACGAGGACAACAATTCTAGTGAGACCGGCGTTCCATTAATAAGTTTATCTGTCTTATATTAACATTTTCGGTCGTTCTTGTTTCGTTCGTGCTGTTTGGTACTGGTTTGCTGACTGTTATAATTATGTTCGGTAATACAATACTGAACATAATCCTTTCGTTCAATACATAAGTTCTGAACATTAATGCAAATAGTCAGTTATGTAATTTTCTTTGTTAAACTAACTTAGAATGGAAAAGAGTGAATTCGAATGGATTTAAGTTGTGTATTTTGAATGAAATTAATTCATGTTATTTTAAGTTGTGAATTGGAATGGATTCAAGTTACACAGTGATGAACAAATTTTGTTCAGACATACAGTGCTGACATGATCATTATTGTTCGACAAAACAGTTCTGAACAAAATACATTTTTTCCGCTACACAGTGGTGAACAAATTGGGTGGGTGTGCATTTCATTGTGAAAATATTATGGAGATTAGTTTTCTATTTTGAAAATATTATGGAAATATTATGGAGATTAGTTTTCCATATATATACATTGTTTTCTATTCCTACAATGTGCATCAATCTTCACTTTCTCATATGAATTTCCCAATCAATGGCAAATTCCAAAAAAACCCACGTCGTCGAAATCCCAATCGACGAAGAACACCAACCCCACAAACTAATCTCCACAATTCAAAACCACCCACTAATGGAAATCTCTCAAAGCCCGGGTCACCTCTTACTCTTCAAGCTCTTGCAAAGAGAAGAACACCTCTGTGCTCGCCGAATCACAATTAAAAAAACAAGAAAAGACACAATTGGAAGAGAAATATTCCAACTGTGTTTTTTCTTCTTCATTTTCCACTTCTTATTCTCAATCATTCTCTTCACTTCAACCACCAAAAAACAAAATGATTACAAATCTTTGTGTGAAAAATGATGAGATCCATCGATTTTGTCGGTTTCGGTTTCGATTGTTGTGATCTTCTTGGTTCAGATTAAGCTCTGGAGGTACTGGAAAGTGGAGAGAGAGTTACAGAGAGAGAGGAGCGATGGCAGAGCAATGACGAGGTGGATTCAAGAGATGAGAATGAAAGGCGCGAGTTTTGATTTGTCAAAGGAGAGTCGGGGAAGGAGAGGGATGAAAAATTAGGCGAGTGTGTATTTCATTGTGAAAATATTATGAATATGGGTAGATTTGGTAATAAGTGGGGTGTCCAACAAAATATTATTAAAATTTAGGATTTAGGGTTGAGGTCCAAAGAAATTGGCAGTCCAAAGAATTTTGGTAGGTGCTACTAGCAGCACTCGAAATAAATCCAAGGAAATGAAAACAATACCAAACAAATTAATTACCTGAATACTTTTGTAATTCTTGTAACACTGTCAAAGATCATTTTTCTGTTTGAAATTGCAGCATTGGTGGCTAGTACATTGAAGCATTTTTTAGCAGCGTGCGACAAAAGAGAGCCCAAATTCAAAACCAGAGAAGACGTGGAAGAGAAGCGTTGACAGTTCGCTCTTGTAGTCAGAGGTTTGTTGGAGATCGCTTTCGTTGTTCCTATTGCATAATACTGTGGTATATGCTTATGTTTCCAAGTAGTGAGTTGTGTCCAAGAAATAAATCCAGAAAAACATTTACAAAACTTTGTAGAAATGGCCATGTAGAACACACAGTTGATGAGAAATTTGCAATCGAACAATAGGAACCGAAATTTTGAAGTATATGTTAAATAAATCAAACCAAACTAAGCCTAGTGTCTAGATCTGTTGGAATCAGTTACATGAATTATTTTTTGACATACTGCTTTGTCAATAACTATATGTTCAGTTAAATATATATATATATATTTACTACAGCATTCCAAGTCAAGTCTTCTCCTCGCCTAACATTTCTGTTGATAATAATCATATGTCTTTTTAGGTTTGCAGAAGTTACTAAGTATGTGCCGTAGCAGAAAAGTGTAAAAGCGAAATATGTAGCAATAAGAACACCATAACTCTTCTTTAACTCCGTTGAATCCAAAGATTATCAGAATAATTGAAAAAAATAAAACTCTGAATGAAAATCTATAGTAATTATAAACTATACAACTATTGAGGCATGATGCTTGCCTCGTTATTAATAATAAACTAGACATAATTCTTGTAGAACAAGAAACACCTAAAATATGAAAACTAAATCAACACAATTTAGGAAACTAGTAATTCCATGCCATTTGTAAGAACATAAATTCATCATCAACCTAGAGTATGCAATAGATTTGGAAAAGAGAATAAAAAACAACAATAAACATACTGGTTTTCAAAACTCGAGGTTGAGAAGGGACGGCATCTTGCTTGAGAAGGGTGGATCAGAAAATTTCCCAGAGAGAATTTGTGTTGAGATATACCGGTTTGCAGCCTCTGTTAAATGAACTCCGTCCCAACTCACATATTCAGCACTATTACTGCACGCTTTGGCTGTGACTGACCTCCCATTCAAGACTTTTGTTTGACTACACATGATATCATTGTTCAAAGGTGGACCTCCATACCCGCAACACGCCATTATTGGTTGCTTAAATCCTGCAAATTATTATATTCATACAAAATCAATTCTATTTGAATGTCACCGGATAGAATAGAAAAAGAAACAACACTATTGTGAAGGACAAAAACCTAGATATCTATGATTGTCCATATTGTTTTTTGGACTTGACAAAAGGGCTGGGGATAAAAGACTGCCCACAAAATAGAGTGAAATTGATGAAACGTGTGCATATTTTTCATACATGTGTTTCCACACACATCCATCAGTTTGAGAACAAGAACATTTTAAAGGATTGATATAATTTATCACACAAAATGCAGGGTAATCAAGACTGTTAAGCCCATAAAAGTGCACGGATAATTCTAGATGGGAGTTGTATATGTATTGTATACGTAAAAGGCTAAAATGCCTCCAAAATTAGAAGAAGGATCTAAAATCTTAAATTCTATTTTCCATTGAAAAAGAAGCAAAAAAGGTACCTAATTACACCACCAAACATTGAAACAGGTAAAATTCAAACAAAGTTTTGCACATTTCACAGATTCATTGAAATTGTGAAAGTAAAACATTCTCTCTCTCATGGAGTGTAAAACAGACATACTTACCATAGCGAGAATAATTAACGGTGAGGTCAAACTTTCTTATAAAGATGCTGGTATAAGTAAGAAAACAGAAACAAGATTGACATAATAGAAACTATATGAAACAGGAAAGCAAAAACTGTTTCAGAAAATCATACACTGCCTAGTGATTATGTGAGAGAGCCGAAACAAAACAAAAACAAACAGTAAAGGAATCAACAGTGTATTAATCAAACAGAAACGGAAAAAACTCACAATCTGTATGAATGCAATGAGGTTAAAACAAACATGCTTACCATACCGAGAACAGTTAACAATGAGATCAAACTTGATTGCAAAGATGTTGGTATAAGTTATATTTGCCTCTGAGTATTGGCTCTGCAATTTTTTGCAGCGTTCATGGAGCTGCAAGTTGAAAATTTTTGCAGCCTGGTTATGTGAGCTCAAACACCCATGCTCATCATGCTTCGATGGATCGGTTCCATATTTTGCAATAATCTGAGCCAAGCAACCATGAGGACCCGTGTTATGAACCCAAATATTTCGCGCCCCCTCCTCGTATAGTTTCTGAGGAACTAAAATTCTGTTAGCCTAACAGATCTAAGACATACAGTTGCATGGCATGAAACATTACAATATGATAATTTACTAATCTCAAATAAGCAAAAAAAAAATTCCCACAAAAATCCCTTTTTTTTTTTTTTACAGAAATATGTTTGGTTGCTGTCTTGAAACTGATCTGCTAGTGATTGCATTAGTGGTGGTTGTGGTGGGTGGTGGAAGTGTTGGTGGCAGTGGTGGTGAGGTGGTCCAGGGGTGTCGGTGGTGAAAGTGGTGGCGGGGTGCTAGTGGTGGGCTGACCTTGAGTTGTTGGAGGCCCTAGGCAAATTCTTGAATTGTAGCCCTCTATGCATAATCACAAATTTTTATTTTTATTTTTGGGTTAAAATGGTAAGTACTTATACTTTTTATTTTATTTGCTAATAATACCCATACAAATTCTGCTTACATAAATGACTAAAATTATATACTAAAGTTATTTACATAGATCAAGACATAAAAAAATCATTACAAAAACTCAAAAAAGATAATGGTCTTATATCTTAACAAAATCCAGTTTACAACAAGAAAGAAATCACCCAATCCAAAAATTAAATAAATCAAAAGTTGTAATATTAAATAAAAAATTGAACCAACTACAAGAAGGTATCAGTTAGTTTACTTTTCTCATATTTTTAAATGCAAAATACTAATTAAAAAAGACTACATGTTCTATAAAGGTCCTTTACTTTAAATTGTGAACTTATATAAGTTGAACTGAATCATTATTTTTAAGCCCATTAATGATACAAGTGTTAAATTAGTTGGGGGCCCAAGGCAACTGCCTTTGTTGCCTTGGCCTAAGGCCAGCCTGGTAGTGGTGGTGAAGCGATGTAGTGGAGGTGTGGTAATGGTGGTGGTGGTGGTGGAGGTGGGTTGATGGCGGTGGTGGTTTTGAGGTGGAGGAGGTGATGGTGATGGTGGCAGTGGTAGTGTGGTGGCATTAGTAAGATTTTGATGCGGAAAATGTCTTCCACTTTTCAACCCTAATAAGTTTGCTTTCAATTGACCACAACAGTGATTATCATTTTCTGTCATATCAAACGTCAAAAAAAGAAGAAAATATTTTCCGTCGAAACAAAGGGAGCATTAAGCTGACCTTAATCCCAGCTTCAAATTCTGCTAAAATTGTTTGAATGAAAGCAAGAACTTGGTCCAACGGCATGGAATCATAGTCAACTCTAAGATCATTTTGGCCTATGTCAAACATGTAAAGCCCCTTGTTGAAATAATCCTCTGGTGGAAGGTACTTGTCAAGTTCTTTTGCTGCAACAAAATTAAGAATACAATAATATTATTATAGTATTTTGCTTGTATGCCAGATTTTCTATTAGCTACAATGTTATGCATGGATCTTGGATTGATGGAGGAATTTGTAGAGGGAAAAGAAATGATAACCAAACTGGAATTAAGGTTGTTTTTCATTTTTTGTTTTTATTTTCTGAAAAAAAAAAAAAAAAAGAAGAAGACAAAAAAAGGAGCATCAAACTTGTTTGGTGAACCGGTTTTGAAAATTGTTTTCGGGATTTTTTCATATTTTAAATAACTTAAGTCTTTAGAACACACCAATAAGTGGTTTCCAAATTTTCAAAAACTGCAACTGCACAAAAATAAATTGTGTACAAACTTTTCATTGTTTTGTTTCGAAAAAAAAAAATGAAAAGACAACCAAATAACCATTTTTTCCCTTTTTTCCCCTCACTTTAATTTTCCTTTCACAAATTCATGATTCAAACACAATAGAAATGTTAATCATACACATAACAAACCAAAAATCCAATAATTTTTTTAGTCATTACTTCTAATTTTTTTGAAGATGCCAAGAACATACTCTCAGATTGCAGTCTCAGAACCTCAGCCTTGAATTGCAGAAATTGAGATACCTGAATCCCAAATGAAAAGGGGCAATTAGATTGTGCAGTAGCTGGAAGTACAGTACAACCTGAAGCTGCAAAATTGCATCCATTCCTGAAACTTGGAGCCCCAATTGCATTCAAATAGGGATTTAAAAATGGCAGCCCCATTGCATCCACTGCAACACAACCCGAAAAAAAATAAAAATAAATAAAAAATTTACATTAGTAGTCCCATCCCAGTAGTTTTTCTCTTATATCAATTTGCTTATTATAGCTCTAATTGCATCAATTTTACTCTTACATTTTTAATATTGTGTCAATTCAGTCCAATTAATGCCCCATTAAATTTTGTCATTTGACTCTCCTCAAAGTAATTGAGGTTGAGGGGTTGGGAGCTTCTATTTGAATGCTAACCTTTTTCTCAATTCATACAATCAATTGTTCAGATATCAACTACCGAACAAAATTCCAATTCGGTGAACCAAAAAAATGGTGTAAGTTGAGAAGTTTTGTGGTGTGCAAATGGACACTACCGATTATTTGGCCCTTGATTTTTAACTACTTTTTTAACCAATGTTATCAGCGGTTCTAAATGGACACTTCGTGTAAAATTAAAGGGATGAACTCCACTCCACACCCCATCTCTCTACACCCTTCCATACCCCTTTTGTCTAAACCATCTATCGCATAGGACTCACAGCAAAGGTTATCCACACAAAAAATTGGTTTCATCGGACAACTATAAACACATGAAGTTCATGTGTGGATAACATTCATTGCAAGACCTATGAGATAGTCTGTTCAAATATCTGTGTGTGCCCAGGTTAAAACCCGCAAGAGGAGTATGGAGAGATGAGGTATGGAGGAGCTAATGCCAAAATTAAAGCACAAAATTGATACAAAACAAGAGGTAAAATTTGCCCCCAAAAAAAATTGTGAAAAAAAGAAAACATAGATTTGAAATGATTAATTGAAGAATAGGAGAGTAAGAAAGGTTCACTTAGAAAATCAATGACAAGACGGCCATCGCACGTCCTTGAAGATGATTTGTGGAAATAAGTGCAGCCATAGGGAAGGCTGAGGTGGACGCCGAGGCCGGCGGAAATCTCGCCAGTGTCGGAATTGGAATCGCCGAAGTTGAAAACTGCTGGGAAATTGAAATCAACAATAGAGTTGGGATTTGCAAGAAGATGAGAGAGAATTGAACAAGACAATAATGATAGAAGAAGAATTATGAGATTCATCTTCATCTTCAAGATCAAGTTCTTGTCTAGTGGGAAAAAACAGAGGCACAGGGCAAAGGGCAAAGGTCAATGGTTAGGGAAATCCCATTATTCCATATTTTTCATATGTATTGGTGGGACTTTTGATATTAAAAAGTAACATTTTTTATATATAATTTTTTGTACTATTGGAAAATGACTACAATAATATTCAAATTGAAGAGACTTTTTACGAAGTTTTGTTCTCTGTCATCTAAAGAAATTAAAATTATAATCACGAGACAATTATGGTGATGGAGATCAAGAAGATACAAACACAATCAAACTCGCCGTTAATTCGATAAATGTGATGTGCAATTACAACAACATTTAACAATAATTAGAACCAGAAGAGGCTCACACAGATTACCTGGATGGTTCCATGGCGAGAAAGGCCGAGAAAAGGTCGAGGCATGCAGGAGAAACACTGAGCTAGAGCTCTCTCTCCGCCATGGCTATGGCGTCTCATGCGTTTGAGGGGTTTAAGAGGTTTGTAAAATTACACCTTCAACCCCCTTTTTAGAGAATCTTCAAAGTTGCTTTTTTTTCCCCCTAAATTTGAGTAAAACTCTATTTGGTATCAAGTGTTTTAAAGAGGTATGTTGAACTTTTATGAAATACAGGTCGATCGGACAAATGATTGGGTAGATGTTTGGCTGATCGATTGGTTAGGGTAATTTTTTTACAAATTTTTGTAAAGAAGTAGTTATTTGGAAGACAACTTACGATGAAAATACAACAGTTATGAACAATGAAATGATAAAAGGTTCTGGCCGATCGACCGGTTAGGATAATTTTTTTACAAATTTTTGCAAAGAAGTAGTCATTTGGAAGACATCTTGTGGTGAAAATACAACAGCTATGAACAATGAAATGATAAAAGGTCCTAGGCGTCCTCAATTTAGTGAAAGATTTTTGATATCCTCGATTTGATACTAATTTGATAAAACTATTGACGTAGGAAAAATGATAATTTTTCGTTAAATTAAAATTTAATGATAGAATTGATGGACCATTAGAGATGATCTTAATTGCAAAATTTAACTTGGCTCCCTTGTATTTCGTAAAATAACATTTTACACCTACAAAACGAAGTGTGTTTGGTTTAAGTTTTTTGGATTAAGTTTTTTGAAAATTGAGTTTTTTGGTTTTCCTGTTTTCTATTTTTTATTTTTAGTGAATATTTTTAAAATTTTAAACATTTTTTTTAGTTTTTTAGATGCGCCTTACTTAGATGTATCTAAAAAGTAAAAAATTTGTACAAAAATATTTTAAAAAATTAATAAATACATAAAAATATAAAAAATGTACTGAACTCTCGTATTTTTTTTGTAGTTTAGGTATTTAGTGAATTTTTAAAAGGTTTTTTTTTATATTTTTTTTACTTTTTAGGTATATTTATGTTAGATATGTCTAAAAATTAAAAAAATTGCTCAAAATATTAAAAAAAATCAGTAAAAACAAAAAAAAAAAACGAAAAACAAGAAAGTAAAATTTTCTAAAAAGTATTTTTGAAAAACTCTAATCAAACAAAAAAACTTTTTGAGGTTTGCCTAGTTAAAAACTTGTTCCATATTAGTTTTGTTAAACTATACTTTGAATTATTTTTAAACTTATAAATTTTTAAGTTTGGTTCGTTTAAAAAAACTCAAAAATTGTGTTTGGTTTTCAAACTTGAACATTATTTTTGATTTTTTTTTTTAATGATTCTTTTTTTCACATCTTACTTAATTTTTTATTTTTATTTTATATCTAATACAAATGCACTTAAAAAACTTTTAAAAAAAAACTGTAAACAAATCACATGAAAAGAGTTCAAACTTTTTCAAATTCCTTCACAATTCTATTACTTTTTAAGTTGCATCTAGATTGTGTGAATTTAAAAAGTATAAAAATAGATATAATTTACCAAAATATGAAGAAAAAAATTACTAAAGAATGAAAATAAAAATTTAAAACAGCTTTTCAAAATTAAACAAAAGAAAATAAGTTTTGAAAGTTTACTTAAACAAATCTACTATAGTCTAATTTGCGTCCTTCAAAATGATGAAAAAATGTTTTTTCAAAATGAAAATCAATAATGCGTGACACCACTAATTAGAGATATCATTATGGATGTAGCAGTGGGTCTTACCCACTGCCACAGTGTGTGCCATGCTTTGTTTTTTTTTTTTTTTCAATTACCACCTCACTAGTGGTGGATTTAGAGCTCACTATTTAATGCACTAAATTATTACTGAATCAAAATTGCTAAAAAAATTCAGCAATGCTAGGTGTCATGAAAAACCTTTCATGAAAATAATCATGAAAGTTTTGTGACTCTTGAATTATATTTAGAATAAAGTGCCACACACTAATTAAGGTAATTCAAGAATCACAAATTTTTCGTGATCATTTTCATAACAAAATTTTCATCATCCTTAATTTTTCTCAAAAAAAAAAATTAGCTTTCTCTGTTAATACGGAGCAAACATGCACTTGTTTGTAGTCAATTCATGTACAAACAATGACAATGTCAGATTTCATGTTAGTTGTTATCCTACAAATTTATGAGGAGACTTGATAATGAAGTGAATTTTGTTGTTTTAGTTTTTGTTACAAGGGAATGACTTCTCTTTATGGCATTTTTTTATTTTATTTTGTGAGTTATATATTTTAAACTCATAACACAATGATGGCCTAAATTGTTCATCTCATTAATTTTGTAATAAAGATTGGAAAAATACTATGGGTGTATACTATATGCATTTTATAATTAAAACAAAAACATAATTTCAATAAAAAAAATGTCATAACTAAACACAACATGAGATATAATTAAAGAAGAAAATTGATCATAACTAAATAAAAAAATGACATAATTAGGAGTGCATATGTACACCTCTTTCTAAAGTATGTATATTAGAATTTCCATAAAGATTGTCTATATAAAATATCAATTTCATCGAATATCAATGAATAAATAAACAAATAATACTTTGTTTTATAAAATAATCAATTTAAATTTAAACTCATAATTACTGTTTATTTAAAAATATACATAATCTATTTATATATCTAGTAATGTTTGATGAAATTAATTTTTTACGCAATTCATTTTTACTGCTGAATTTACTTAGATCAACATTTCAAATTATCATTATAAACTCATAATGGTCCCATGAAATAGAGTATGAAAATATATATCATATAGTGATATTGAAGGGCGCCATTTCCTCGCGCTTGGCACCAAATAAAAAGAAGGCGGCCCGGTAAATCCTATGAGAGTTTCTACTACAGAAATTACAATGTGTAGAAGAATTGTAACGAGGCTATTTAGATTCTCAAACCAAATTTCAAAAGTAAAGAAAATTCAAAGGTAAATATATTACTAGTCTCTATAATTTGAGCGAAATTTCATTTTGGCCTTCATAATTTCAATTTGAATAACTTAATCTCTACATTTTCAATTTTGTTGCAATGTAATCTCTCCGTCAGTTTTTAACAAACAAAAATCATGCGTAAAATTAGAAACTAAAGTGAAATTCAAAATAAACTGGAGAGTCATTATACCGGTGGTTCCATCAGTTTCTTTTAAATTTTACTTTGGTTTTACTCATGATCTTTTTCCATTTTAAATTCTAATAGTAAGCAACAAAAGCATCATATTGTAACAAAATTAAAAGTTTAAAAACCAAACTAGTCAAATTGAAACGACAGGAACAAATGTGATATTTCGTTTAAACTAAAGGGACTAATGGCGTAATTTACTCAAAATTCAACTCTTCATTAGTGCAACCCAAATGGGAAATAATGTAGATTAGCCAAACATTAATAAATAAATAAATAAAAGATAGGTGTTTTGAACTTTCATTGTTTTTGTTTCCAAAAACAAGAAAAAAAATAAAAAAATCAAATAGTATATTTGGTTTCAGTTTTTTGAAAATTAAGTTTTTTGTTTTTTACCTTTTTTTTGTTTTTAGTGAATATTTTTTAAATTTTAAATAATTTTTTTAAATGCATCTTATTTAAATGTATCTAAATAGTAAAACATTTGTGAAAAAATATTTTTTTCAATTTGAATAACTTATCTCTACATTTTCAATTTTGTTGCAATGTAATCTCTCCGTCAGTTTTTAACAAACAAAAATCATGCGTAAAATTAGAGACTAAAGTGAAATTCAAAATAAATTGTAGAGTCATTATACCGGTGATTCCATTAGTTTCTTTTGAATTTTACTTTGGTTTTACCCATGATATTTTTCCGTTTTAAATTCTAATAGTAAGTAACGAAAGCATCATATTGTAACAAAATTAAAAGTTTAAAAACCAAATTATTCAAATTGAAACGACAGGAACAAAAGTGATACTTCGCTTAAACTATAAGGACTAATGGTGTAATTTACTCAAAATTCAACTCTTCATTAGTGCAACCCAAATGGGAAATAATGTAGATTAGCCAAACATTAATAAATAAATAAATAAAAGATAGGTGTTTTGAACTTTCATTGTTTTTGTTTCCAAAAACAAGAAAAAAAATAAAAAAAATCAAATAGTATATTTAGGTTCAGTTTTTTGAAAATTAAGTTTTTTGTTTTTTACCTTTTTTTTGTTTTTAGTGAATATTTTTTAAATTTTAAATAATTTTTTTAAATGCATCTTATTTAAATGTATCTAAATAGTAAAACATTTGTGAAAAAATATTTTAAAAAATTAATAAATACACAAAAATACAAAAATGTATTGAATTTTCGTATTTTTTGGTATTTAGTGTATTTTAAAAAAAAAATTAACAAATATCATATTTTTTAAGTGTATTTTTGTTAGTTGTGTCCAAAAAAAAAATGCTTAAAATATTAAAAATGTTCATTAAAAAATTAAAATAAAGAAAATAAAAAAGAAAAACTGTTTGAAAACTGTTTTCTGAAAACCAAAACCAAACAAACTTAAACGAAATGAAAACAATACCATAAAGGATTATTTAATTAGCTGAAATTCTTTTGTAATTCTTGCAACATTGCGAAGATCATAGAAAATACAGTCATGGCTAAAGAAGAGAAGTACAATGGAGCAGTTTTTAGCAGCGCCAAACGATTAGTAGATGCCATTGATGGACAACATTAATCCTGAAGGGCGAAGGTTCAAAGACAACATAAGAAAGTCCAACTTCCAACTTCAAAACCAGATGGAAGAAAAGTGTTGACAGTTCGGTCTTGCAGTTGGAGGTTTATTAGTGATCGCTTTCGTTGTTCCTATTGCACAATACCATGCTCGTGTTTCCAAGAAGCAGCGAGTTGCATCCAAGAAATGTCTCTAAAAAAACATGTATGAAATTGAGCCATAATAATTACATAATTATTTATATATAATAAACTAAATCCAATTCTTGAAGAACAATAAACCCATAAAATATGAAAACTAAAACAACACAAATTTAGGAAACTTAATAATTTTAGAATTGGAAAAGAGAATAAAAAAAAAATAATGATATACATACTGGTTTTCAAAAGTTGTTGAAAAGGGAAGGCATCGTTGCTGAGAAGAGTGGATCAGAAAATTTTCCCGTAAGAATTTGTGATGAGATATGCCGGTTTGCAGCCTCCGTAAAATGACATCCGTCCCAACTCACATATTCAGTACTATCATTGCACGCTTGGGCTGTGACTGAACTCCCATTGAAGAATCGTGTTTGACCACACAGGATCTGACTATCATAGTTCAATGGTGGACCTCCATACCCGCAACATGCCATTATTGGTTGCTTAAATCCTGCAAATTATTATATTCGTACAAAATCAATTCTCTTTGAATGTCACCGGATATTTGAGTACGAGAGTTACATGGGATTGAAGATTATCTAGAATAGAAAAGAAACAACAGTATTGTGAAGGACTAAAACCTAGATATCTATGAATGTCCATATTGTTATTTGGAATTGATACAAGGGCTGGGGATAAAAGATTGCCCACAAAATAGAGTGAAATCGGCGAACCATGCGCATATTTTTCATACATGTGTTTCCACACACATCCATCAATTTCAGAACAAGAAAATTTTAAAAAATTGATAGGGAAATAATCTATAATTTACCACACAAAATGTAGGGTAAATAAGACTCTGTTAAGTCCATAAAAGTTTACGGATACTTCTAGAAGGGAGTCGTCTCTGTATTGCATCCGTAAACTGCTAAAATGCTTCCAAAATTAGAAGAGAGAATTTAAATTCTCATTGACATATCTTTATTTCTAATTTCCATTGGAAAAAGAAGCTACACCATCAACTGTTGAAATAGCTCAATTTTGCATGTTTCATAGGTGAGCGAACCACGGGAAGACGAGGCCATATCAGAGGATGCACAAGCAAGGGGTAGTAGAGTGGAAGAAAGGGATTGTAGAGTGATTTCAGATTGGTTCGTCACTTTGTTTTGCTCTGCCTCTCTATCCATCCTCAGCCTCAATTTAAAGAGAACGAAGAGACGAAAAAGGCAGAGAGGGCGCGAGACCCGAGGCAGACACGACACTTTGCCGGTCACGTGAACCATGCCTGACACCATGCTCGACGCCACAGTGTCCGACGCGACTTTTGAAGGCTCGGGCGCGACTTTTTACAAAGGTGAGACATACATATATATATATATATATATATATATATTTGGGCAGCCTATATACACGACCATACAGTATATTCTACAATGGTCTGACAAGACCTCACAATGTCTTCTACAGCGGTTCGACACGACCACATAATGTCTTCTACAACGGTCTGACACGACCACACAGTGTCTTCTACACCGGTCTGACACGACCACACAGTGTCTTCTTCAGCAGTCTGACACGACCACACAGTGTCCTCTACAGCGGTTCGACACGACCACACAGTGTCTTTTACAACGGTCATGATCACACAATGTCTGCTACAACGGTCCGATACAGCCACACAGTGTTTTCCACAACGGTCTGACACGACCACACAGTGTCTTCTACAACGGTTCGACACGACCATACAGTGTCTTCTACAACGGTCTGAAAAGACCACACAATGTCTTCTATAACGGTTCGACACGACCATATAGTGTCTTCTACAACGGTTTGCTACAACCTCACAGTATCTTCTATAACGGTCTAACAAGACCATACAGTGTCTCCTATCATATTTTATTTTATTTTCCTGTTTTGCCACTTGTTTCCAAACTCAAGTTGGTTCTTATCCTCCTTGAGTTTGAGAGGGGCTATTAATGTATATTATATAATGTAATGCATTGCTTTCGACTAATATAATATGTATAATGTAGTGCCTTACTTTTAGCTCTTTGTTCTCCGTCTTCAGCGCGCAAATCTCTGTTCGCACATCCTTGTACATGCGCTACAACAGAAAGAATTGGGCATTTAACTGGTGTACCTCACTTGTCCTATTCTGCAGCCAGTGAGACAAGTTAATGACCGCAGTCATGGTCTCCACACATGACTTCAGCGTATAGTGGCTGGCCTCAATGTCAGACAAGTTCAGAGGAGTAAAAGCAGGGGCAGGGGCACTCTGTCCAAGGGTGCTTATTGGTTCATTCAGGTTTGGAAAAAAGGTGAGCGAACCACGGGAAGACGAGGCCATATCAGAGGATGCACAAGCAAGGGGTAGCAGAGTAGAAGAGAGGGATTGCAGAGTGATTTCAGATTGGTTCGTCGCTTTGTTTTGCTCTGCCTCTCTATCCATCCTCAGCCTTGATTTAAAGGGAACGAAGAGACGAAGAAAACAGAAATGGCGCAAGACTCGAGGCAGACACGACACTTTATCGGTCACATGAATCGCGCCGAACACTGTGGCGTCGAGTAGATGGTTCACGTGACCGGCAAAGCGTCGTGTCTGCCTCGGGTCTCATACCCTCTCTGTCTTCTTCGTTTCTTCGTTCTTTTTAAATCGAGGCTGATGATGGATAGAGAGGCAGAGCAAAACAAAGTGACGAACCAATCTGAAATCACTCTGCAATCCCTTTCTTCTAACTGTATGGTCGTGTCGAACCGCTGTAGAAGACACTATGTGGTCGTGTCGGACCGTTGTAGCAGACATTGTGTGATCATGACTGTTGTAGAAGACACTGTGTGGTCATGTCAAACCACTATAGAGGACACTGTGTGGTCGTGTCGAACCACTGTAAAGGACATTATGTGGTCATGTTGGACCGCTGAAGAAGACACTGTGTGGTTGTATCAAACCGGTATAGAAGACGCTATGTGGTCGTGTCAGACCATTGCAGAATACACTGTATGGTCGTGTATATAGGCTGCCCAAAGATATATATATATATATATATGTCTCGCCTTTGTAGAAAGTCGCGCCCGAGCCTTCAAAAGTTGCGCTGAACACTGTGGCGTCAAGCGTCGTATCTGGCGTGGTTCACGTGACCGACAGAGCATCGTGTCTACCTCGTGCCCTCTCTATCTTCTTCGTCTCTTCGTTCTCTGTAAATCGAGGCTAAGGATGGATAGAGAGGTAAAGCCAAACAAAATGACGAACCAATCTGAAATCACTCTGCAATCCCTTTCTTCTACTCTGCTACCCCTTGCTTGTGCATCCTCTGATATGGCCTCGTCTTCTCGTGGTTCGCTCACCCTCTTTACAGACCTGAATGAATCGATAAGCGCCCTTGGACAAAGTGCCCTTGCCCCTACTTTTACTCCTCTAAACTTTTCTATGCTGTCAGTCGAGCAAATAATGGCAGCTCAATTTGACATTGAGGCCAACCACTATACGCTGAAGTCATGTGTGGAGACCATGACTGCGGTTACTAACTTGTCTCACCGCTACAGAATAGGACAAGTGAGGTATAAAAATTAAATGTCCAACTCTCTCTGCTGCAACGCATGTACCAGGATGCGCGAGCAGAGATTTGTGCGCTGAAGGTAGAGAACAAAGAGCTGAAATGGAAGGCCACCGTCATGATTCGATTCGGAGTGCCGCTGTACTCTGCTTCTGATGAGCAGCGGGGAATCAACTCGCTTGGCGGCTTCGGAAGCATAAAGGTAGGGCCGTCAAGAGTCGCTCAAGATAGAGGCAAGAGGAAGAGATCGACGGCAGAGTAGAGTAAGTGAGGTCGGCGTGTGGCCGTCGTCGGAAAAGAAAATAAATCCCTTATTGTTGTTGCTGTTGTTGTTACTTATTTGTTTTTTTTTTTTTTTTTTTTTTTTTTTTTTTTTTTTTTTTGTTTTTTTTTTTTTTGTGAAATGATGAACTTGAAAATGTAGTGATTGTAAGGGCAATGTAAATGTATGTCGGTACTAGGTTATATATATATATATATATATTTTTTTTTTGTTTTTGTTTATAGATATATATATATATATATGTATATAAATGAAATGAATCGATGGTGGAATAAAAATAAATAAATATATATGAAAAGGGAAAAAGATAAATACGTAAATAAGAAGAAGAAAAAAAAAAATAATGGGCAAATTACATATTCCCCCCTCGAGGTTTAGCTAAATTACAGATATCTCCTGAGATTTCAGAAATTACAGGTACCCCCTGAGGTTTATATTTTCATAACAATTTGCCCCCTAATTTGTTATGCAAATAGTACCTTCAGGAAGGTATCTGTAATTTCTCAAATCTCAGGGAGGTATCTATAATTTTGCTAAATCTCGAGGGGGTATATGTAATTTGCCAAAAAATAATTTATCACAAGCTGGAGGACATGCCCACGTGGGTGTCACGATAATGAAAAAACAAAAGAAAAAGAAGAAAATTCAAAAGTTAGTGGAGACATGTTAGTTGATTATTAGTGGAAAGAAGAAAATTCAAAAGTTTGCGAGAGAGGTAGATGTTGAACACAATGTTTTGGGGTCCCAGAGGCTACTCTAAGGATTTGTAAGGTGGGTTCGAAAGAAAACTCAAATGGGTGTCCACAAATTCAATTGAGAGATCTGAGAAGTGGGTTTTGAAGAAGAAGTAAGTAAATGGACATGGTTGGAGAATTTGAACCCAGATTCAACAAAGCCAGATGTGGATTTGTTGAAAGGAAGAGATGGGTAGTGTAGGTTTCTTTGAAGGCAAGTGTACTGTTCATTCTTTCAAGAACTACACTAAGCCTGAAAATGTTGGGACTGAAGATTACTATTACCGATGTAAGTACAAAGTCGGAGCCTCGAACCAGTCCATCATGAACAGACTCGCCAGGTGAGGAGCCGGCACGTTGCAGCCGAAATCGCTGAGCAACGGACAGCCACCGCTCGAGCCAACATGGGCGTGGCCGTGACGGAGGTGATGAAGCGGGTTCCACGTCAGCCACGAGCTGGATGTTATGGCGGAGGCCGAAAATGTCTGACGCCATGGATTGCTTGAGGTTATGTGTAGAAAACTCCAGCAGAGTGAAGATATGTATAGAAAACTCCAACGGGCAGCGAAGGCCAGGTTGCCGGCCGACTGCCTGCCGGTAAGAAAAAAAAATACAGGTGAGAGATAAATAAATTGTGTACTGAATTGATGTATTTACAATGGTTACAGGTTCCTTATATAGGAGAGTGTGGAGAAGTGGTTTGGAAATACTCTTCTGATCCTGGGAGACGCTAGTGATCCTCAACTAGTCACCTGAAAAGATACAAACACTCCGGTTGGGGGTGCCAGAATTAGCACTCCGACAGACAAGTCAGTTCAGGCACTCAGGATAGCTTGTTTACTAAGTTAAGCAAAAAGTGATTGTTACATACCTTTCTTAATCCATTGTTCCTGTATTTATACCTGTTCCTTTTGATCCTCAGGGCTAGGGCCTACTTTTT